TTAAACAAGTAAACTCACAATGGGCATGGCATGTACATACATGCCATACCCGTTGGCAAGGGGTTAACAACCACGGGGATCCTGTTTTACCCCATGATTTCCCTGATATACTTCATGCCCTCCCCAGCTATCGGGACTATTAACCCATTGCCGCCAGGGAAAATGAACAAAAAATGGGGGAAATCCAGTACTCACTTTTTTTATCTTTGTGAAATATCTCTGTCCATAGATGGCTCTGCTAGTCCTGATTTCACCTGTCCTTGAATTGGCGGGGAAAAACGTATTCTTACTAGTGCTATAAGTAGAGATGGAGTTATTTTTAACAGCAAATCAGGATAACATTAAATATTTTGGTAAATTGATGAAAAGGGTGAACGGGCGAGACAGGCAGTACTCGTAATTGGCTCATTGGATACTTAGTACAAGTGTAGCCATCTATGTGTAAAAACAATCAAACAAGTCATCTCACAGTGGGCATGGCATGTACGAACAATGCCTAGAATCGTTGAAAGTAGTGGATTTCATGCAGATAAATATTAAAATAGTTTCGAATGTAACCCACTACCCTCTTCTACATATTGACCATCATATTTATTGAAAAAATATATATTTACAATGCTATAGTAAATTGTTAAATACAAATTAATTCTTTTAATCTTAAGGCCAATTTTCAGTATTAAGGCCCACTTAATACCTTTAATCCAAATGACGTAACCATCAGTTTATGAAAAAGTTTAGCATGAGGGGCAGGTGATAAGGAACATGCCATCAAGGGTAAATTTTCCTGAGGACTGGATTGGTCATTTTGGGAATTTCAGCCAAAGCCTGTGGTGAGAGAAATGACTCATCATGAGTACACAACCTCTTGGAGGCTGATTAGACTCAGTTAGCATTAGGAAGAGATTATTGAATTGTTTCCATTGATAAATGAGTGTGGAATGTACCATCTGTGAACTATAACTAGAAGAGTGCTAGCTCCAGGAGGTTGCTATTTCCATGTTCAGGATCCAGCTCCAGCTTACTGTGACCAGGCAGCACAGGTTGTATTACAGATAATTTAATATATATTTGTTTTTAATGCTACAAATAACAAAATGTTACTTAACCCCTTCCCGACGGGTCACGCTATGAGGCATCAAAACAAACCGCTCGATCTGTGACATGCGGCTCTACTCCACAGTGGCGCCCCAAGCACTATGAGCTGGTAATTCAGCTTGATGCACCGAACTCCCGTGCTCAAAGTTGGTGCGTTGGCATTGATCTCCAGAGCATTTTTTTTTTTTTTTTTTTTTTTTTTTTTTCTTTTTTCTTTTCTTTTCTTTTCTTTTCTTTTCTTTTCTTTTCTTTTCTTTTCTTTTCTTTTCTTCACCCGTCATCAAGGAGTTAATATTATGGTCTAGCTAGAGAGATGGTATGGAGTCTGTACAAAGAAAACAGTCAATTACTGTGTGCTTAAAGTAAATCAAATGAAAAATATAAACATTGGAAAATGAAAAAATAAATAAATAAATAAATAATGCCAGTGCAGAAAAAGAGAAAATTCATTGCGTGGGGCCCTGTCACCAGACGAGTATTTGATATGCGCCCAGCCTCCAAGCAACACACCCCTCAGAGTGGCTGTATTTGTAACCCTAATTTCAGTATTTTGGGCCACATGCAAGCAGTGAAGCATCTGCATCGAAGTGACCAATTGAATACAGTGAACATCCATACTAGACACTCATGAACAACTACTTTCCTTTGAGCATTTCCCACCTACAGACAGTGGATCATGTAATTACCAAGAGCCATGTATAAGGAAAATTAAAAGATTTGTATTTGGAGCCAAACAAGAAGATCTAATCTAATATTTCTAAAATCCTTTCAGCTTGTTTGACCAGTGAGGAATACCTTTGTGCAACAATGGTTCTGCTGGTTTCCCATGTGTCAGGATCTCGAAGAACATGGTGCTTGGAGAACAAATGTATGACACGAGCTGATATTTTTGAAGCTCTTCAGGGAAGAGAGGTAAGAGTTTTTTCTTCATTTTCATTCAAATTTTATTACACGGAAACTCTAGGTCATAATTTGATGCTTTAATGGAAACAATTTTACAGATAATTAAAATGAGATTTCGAATTGTAACAGATTAGCAAATATGTGTAGAAATATCTTGTAAGAAGTGAATGTACAATTTCTTTTGTTTTCTCCTCACTTTTATCAGGAAGAAAAGCTTTGTATTAATAGAAGTTTATAAAATTTCCTTCCTAGAAGTGCCTTTTAGTTAGAAGGAATATATTTAACTTACAGTTTGGTTCCTTTTTTTCGTTTTGTTTACTTTTCCTTTTTTCTTACAGGGGCAGATTCAAGATGTCGTCCTGCAATCCAAAGGACAAATCCTCTCCTCATCCTCAGTAATATTGGAGGATGAAACTGTCACAGCAACACTAAGGCTTCCCGGTGGCAAGGGAGGTTTTGGTTCTATGCTGAGGGCGATAGGTAAATGCCTTTCATTAATTGCTAAGTGTTTAACCCATTCGTGCCATCTACTGTAGAGATATTTCATAAAAAAATATAAAAAATGAGCACAGCGTTTTCCCCATTTTTTGTTCATTTTTACCCGGCGCAAATGGGTTAAGTTCAATAGATAAGATGTAGGAGGTTCCCCATCTTTAAGGCATATCAGTTATGTGGAAAGAGCTTTGCACATAAGCTTGCATTGAACTTTTTTAATCATCAGTAGCTCACCACTCATTGTTAATTTATGCCAGCCAAGTGGGATTGATTTTCTGATTCCCCCTACAACCCCTTTACTCAGGCTATACCCTCCTTTTCCAACAATATTTCTTAGAATGAGTAGGCAAAGTTTTCTTCTGCAACCACTCCAACCTATTCCTACCCAGCCTCACTTTTCCCTTAACCTGTCAACGATGGCATCAGAAATCTCTGGACGTCACTGACTCCGGTGATCTCTAGCCATTTGGTCCAGGAGTCCACTACAAATCACAGAACTTTCTGCATGATTTGCTCTATATCTTTAATTGCTCTGTTAACCCATATCTGCCATCCCATGCCTGGCAGATATGAGTTAATACTTGTATGGGGACTGTTTCTATTTCCCTCCTGACTGCCCTGTTTATGGGAAAAATTGGTCAAACTGTAATCACTCGTAACCCTCTTCATACTTCATTCCCTTGTCTTACCCCATTCACTCACCCTTTTTACCCTATACTATCCTAAAGTGCTGTATAATTTTTGATGTAGCTCATTTAATAATTAATTCATTAACTTGTTCCTTACACTAACTCATTAACCCCTGCTTTACCATTTTCATTACTATACCTACTTATAGTGCTACATGGCCACTGATGTGTAGCAATTTTATTTGCTTTTTATCCATTAACCATTCATATTGTGTAAGCCTAAATTACCTTCTTAACTTAATCCTTAACATGATTACAGGTGCTCAGATTGAGAAGACAACCAACCGCGAGGCATGTCGGGATCTCAGTGGTCGGCGCTTGAGAGATATAAATGAGGAAAAGAGGTAGAAGTATTTTGTTTTGTATCAGTAGATTGGACAGAGTAAGTGTAGATAAAAATTAGAATGTGTAAGTGTATTGGTTACAGATTTTTCAGTTTTTGTAATTAGGATGAAGACATTTTTATATATTTCATAAACAGGAATAGTTACATGATAAGCAATGATTTTGTTAATGACATGAAAAGGATATATTTCTTGGAAAATAATTATGTGATGTATATGGTTTCTGGACCAATAGCCACAAAAGTTATACGATACAAGTTGTATAAATTTTACAAATGATATACTGAAGCAATCACCATAGTTTATTTAAAGGATTTATGCACCAGGCTGTCATAGAAACCATTTTATTTTACTAATTCAGCTAATTATCCTTTTCACAGATTAAAGGAATTCATCAGCAAGAAATCAGAAAGAGAACGAGAGATGCAGGAACGTAAACGCCAAAAATTTGAAAAATTGAAAGAAACTCCAAAGCACATTTTCCAGGATGAGTCCTATTACCAGCAGAGAGAAGTTCGGGAAAAAAATTTATATGATTCATTAGACAAAGGTAAGTGTCTGATAATTTAGATAATGTTAAAGTTGTAGTCAGTGGCAGACACTGCATTTTTTTTGAGGGGGGGGGGGGTGCAAAAATTATTTGACACTGTGGTGACTAAGCACTTGTAGAGCCATCTGTATGCAAGTACATATAGTTAACTAGACTCACAGTTCACTTGGCATACATACCATTCCTAGTAGCAGTGGGTGATAAAAGAAATATTTAAGTTCACGTGGAAAGAAACATTAGTTGAATAAAATATCTATGTGCATATACTTTATATATAGTACAGCATATCACACAAAAATTATTCTGTGTAATCTGTTAGTGATTAATTAATTACCTCTTTCTCCTGAAGAGTTGGTGTTACTGTTTCTGAAATGCATTTTTATTTTCAGCTTTTTCTAAGGAAACAGGAAGCACCTCAGGTTCCCAGAAAAGAAGTTCCCCAGAAGAAGCAAAGCCAGTTGTCAAACCTAAGAAAGGCAGATTTTTAGAGTAAGTATTTCTTGCATGCTAAATCGATTAGCCCCTTGGTGCCGGGTGACGCCGATCAGCGTGTAAACAAAGCACTCGAAAGCTGGCGTGCAGCCAAACGAGCCGGCGGCGAGCCAAAGTGCGGCAAGCCAGTGATTCGGGCTGATGTCCCCTATTCACGCGCTCAAAGTCGGCACGCCGCTTTTGTTTGCTTAAGCGTAGAGTTTTTTTTTTTTTTTTTTTTTTTTTTTTTTTTTTTTTTTTTTTTTTTTTTTTTTTTTTTTTTGTGTGTGTGTGTGTGTGTGTGTGTGTGTACACCCGGCGCCATTGGGTTAACTGATTTTTATATTATTTACTGTTGGTAAATATGGTTTAGTGAGTAATCTACCTGTGCAACCCCGAGTGAGGTGGGCCTAGCCTCATAGGAAGAGAGTGTACCAGTCCTTTCAATCTTGTCAAGGAACAGAGAAATATGGGTAGAGAAGTTTTGTAGAGAAGGCATAGTAAACCTGTGATTTGCAACCATATGTAATGGCACACAAAGACTTGCTTGCTCTGAAATGGCAGTAACAGAAAGGGAAGATCCATGGGCCTTTCTCCCAAATGTAGAGGCTTTTCATAGCTACAGTGGCCTGTCAGAAAACAGCACCTGTAGATGGTAGATGTAGATTCCCCTCTGAGTCCACCAAGCAGAGAATAGCAGAAGGCACTAAAGGGACTATACAGGAAGAGTGGTTCAAAAAGGAAATGAAACAATAAACAGCAGAGTGAGAGAAAACACTTTTATGTGTCTTATTTTTCTCTTCTCACACTTTTTTTTTTTTCTCTCTCTCTCTCTCTCTCTCCCTCTCTCTCCTTTCTTCTCCATGTTCTATCATTTTTATCCTTTCCCTCATTTGTATGTATGGTCTTCATTTGTCTTCTGTTTTCTTTAATTTTGTCTGTGAGGAGTGACGTTTGGTCAGCATGTCACATGTTGGAACTAGATATGAGCATTGGTGTCTACTCACAACTTAGAACTTGAAGTGTAGATGAACAATTGTTTCTCTGCAAAAATAGTTTTATCTTGTAGTCAACTAGACTCACAGTTTTATCTGCCCCCAGTCAGTAGTGCTAGAGGAGGGGTTCTTTCTCTTACCTTACTCTAACCTTTTCTCAAACTTCTGTCTGGGAAATGATTTTGGAGTTGCCAGTCTATGGACAGTTTGTAGGCAACATTAAAGTGAAGAAAACTTTCACTTCTGAGTGGACATAGGGTAAACACAAAAGCAGTGAAAAATAATAGGTATGGGCACATCATCAAATAAGAGCACAGGTAGTGGCAATTTTACATATTCTTACTATAGTGATATAATATTAAATTATTCAGACTCTGGCTTTTGGTCCATAACGGGAGTAGCTGTTGACAGCTATAGGAGGGTGTGTTGATCTGAGAGTTGATATTGTCACAAGTTGTTTGAATTTTCCCTTTTTTCTTCCTTCATCTGGTGTTTATTTTCCTTTTCTTTCCTCCTCTCTTTTCTCCTTCCTCTTTATCCTTTTTTTTCTTTTATCTTTATTTCCTATGTTTCTCTTTTCTCGTTTCTGTATCTGTTCCCTTTTCTTTCCCCTATCCTTTTCTGTCTTCTCTAATTTCTCTCTTGTCTCATGTATCTCTCTTTTCTGTCTTCTTTTCTTTTCTTTTCTTTCTCTTCTCTTCCTTCTCTTAAATCTTTTTCCTTATTTTTTAAAATCTTTCTTTTTCCAATTTTATCCTTTCTCCTCACATTTCTCTTCCCTTCTGTTTTCTCTGTACATAGTTGAAGTAACTCCCCAATTCTTCAATAATTTTTTTTGTCTTTTTTAATAGTGACTTGGATGACTCAAGTGAAGATGACAGCGATAGTGATGAGGAAGAAGCAAAGAGCAGCATAGGAAACTCATCAGATGAGAAGGAGGATGACAAGGCTTCAGGACTGGAGAGTGGAAAGGAAGAGGAGCCAGACAGTGCAGCCAAGGAGACAGTAGCAGGCTCTGGGGCCAAGGGAGAAAGTGATGCTGGATATTCATCTAATAAAGAAAGTGATGAGGATACGTCCTCTAGGGGATAATTTGTGTTTCTTTCCCTTTCATTTTTTTTTCTTTCTGAATTGTAAAAATATGTCATTGTATGTTCACGTCCACGTTCATCTATGTATTTGCATGGGAAAGTTATTCCTTTCTGATCCCTTTTCATCCTTTTAATTTTATGTACTCTCTTTCTCATTTCCATGACATCACTTAATGCAGAAATTGTATTCACAAGATGCATAGGCAAAAATGTACAATGATTAGTCGTCATTGTACATATTTGTCCTCTTTGCCATCTGTTGGAGGTTAACACACCTTGTGTTAGTATGAGTTCACTAAAATACTTTTTTAGTACTCACTTCTTTGATATCCAGTGAGCCTCAGCTAATAATAGCCAGTGAAGATTAGAGAACATGGAGTATGAAAGTACATTAGTTCCAAGGGGAGTTTTTATTTGACACTGAGTAATTTTACTCATAGCTCTTCATAAATGTATCTTTGCTGTTTGTAGCATTCTGATGTTAAAAAAAAGTCTTTATGCAAAATATTTAGATTTTTCAAGCAATTACATATGATGACTGTACACAATGATGTATCCCATCCTATCAAACAAAATCTTGTTTTTTCTTTTTCTTTTCTTTTTTTTTTCTTTCTTTTTCTTTTTTTTTCTTCTTCTCCCCCCCCCAATATGACATTGATTTTGAAATGTATACAGGAAGATATTTAGTAAAAACCAATTGTACTTTGTTTGAGTTATGTATTATATATATCTGTATGCTATTGTAGCTCCTTTATTGTAGGGTATACCATGTACTGCTTGGAATAATATTGTAATGGTTAAGTGTGCTGTTAAAGAAGAAAGTATACTTTTAGGGAAAATTTTGCAATAAAAAGATGAACATTTAAACTCTTTGTCACTCCTTTACACAGAACAAACTTATGAGTCCTTTTTTCTGCTTGCAGTAATTCAGCTGGTTCCAGTGAATATAGCCTTACAGATATGAGGAACTGAATTTCTTAACCCGTTGGATCTGGGAGCCCTGTGACTCATATTGACCAAAATCCAGGCACTGGGCTCACTGGAGTGTAGCTTGTAGACCCAGCCTGGTATCAAGGCTCCATGCTCCTTCTTTGCAATACTATATGCCTTCTTTCTGCAGATGCATTTTCCCCAAAGTGTATTTTTGTCAAGTTATGTGATATCAAAACGGCAATAGACTGCTTCCCTTGAACAGATTCTACATTGTGTCTCCAGGTATTTTACACCCTATGCAGTAACATGAAGAATGAATTTGTAACATTTTTCTTTCTTTTTTAGTATTCAGTTTTCCATAACACTCCTTGGGTAAGAATAGTTTCTTGTCCACCCTGGGCACAGCCCTTTCCCAGGCCTGGCTCACAGATGGCTCACTCAGCCTTTGTAGACCTGTAGAAATCCTGCATGAACAAGCCCCTTCCCTGAAGGCCTGCTAGGTCAGTCTTTCTCCAAGTGATTTTCATATCTATGATGAAACATCCCCATCACACACCACTCAGCAACAAAATCCTATGGGGAGCTGTTCCCTTCAGCCAAATTTGTTCCAATATATAGCATTCCTGTCACCCTTCCCTCATCCAATTTTTTTTATGACTCTCATCCAGATCCAAAGGGTTAATTCTTGACTTTTGAAGATTACTATTTGCATTAGATCTGATAAATGCAGTCTATTATTTTCTTATCAGAAAATCTACTTTTCCAAGGCTTTTATGAAATAAAATGTAACTAAATGAATTGACAACTTTAATCAGAAACTGGATATTAAAAGTTATAAACTGTCTATCGTGTACGCAGGTACAAACCTCAGACTCATTGCTTGTGAAAATTGCATTATTAAAAAGATTCAGGTGAAAATGAATCACTTTACTCTTATCCCCTTTTGAAGGAGAGCTATTACATGCTAAAGGCTCATATGTTTACTATTATTATTTATAATAGATATTCTTGCTGGAAAGTTTTAAGAAGTAACTTAACCCATTTGCGTATACGTGACATGCCCGCATGTTTAATTGTTTTTACACATAGATGGCTACACTTGTACTAAATCACCAATGAGAAAGTTACAAGTACTGTCTGTCTCACCCGTTTACCCTTTTCTTTAATTTATGAAAATGTTTTACGTTATCTTATTTTGCTATTACTATTGTTTATAACATTATAGCAATTATAATGTTTATAATAAAAATAACACCATCGATATTCATAGCACTAGTAAAAAATACATTTTCCCGCCAATTCAAGGAAATGTGAAATTAAGTAAGGTAGAGCCATCTATGTGTAGACATTTCACAAAAAATATAAAAAATGAGCACAGCATTTTCCCCATTTTTTGTTCATTTTCCCTGTCGCAAATGGGTTAAACATATATTTTCTTTATGAGAAGTTAACCCTAGTGCACATGGTTTCAAGTCAGTTTCCATGTGGCTTGCCTAACCTTCTCTTGCCAACATGGTTGTCAGACAATTACTTGTAGTTTGGATCTACTCACACATGCAAGAATGGACTAAATTATTAATTGGCAACTTAACAGAGTAGCACATTCCCTGTTGCCAGTTCAAATTTTTGAGCAAAATATTACTTTTAGCTAATATTTAAATGTTGCACCATCACACATGCATTCTTCATCATCACAGTGCCATAAATTTGTGATGTGGATGCTTACGTGATGTACTCAAGTGGGTTAAAAAGTCCATTACCATATATGAAGAAGAACAAGCTCATTACTGAGGGCAGTTAATGTGGATTGTTGAGGTTTAAACTCACTGATATTTTGTGGTCTTGTTATTTTAGTTTTGGTATATGAAGTTTAACTGTAATACTACAGTTCATTTTTAGTAATTTGTTTTTTTCTATGGACAGAATTTCTTGCTTGACAGACCTGCTACTTCTTTGATAAGAATTTTAGCAGGGCCGGATCCAGGATTGTTAGAAAGGGGGGGGTGTAACCCCTAGCCGAGACGATTGCGAGTGCCGAAGGCATGAAGCCTAAGCGGGATAGAAAGTTTCTATCAATTATCCCTTCTATTGCTGACTGGGACTTTTCCTACCTATATCCCACATCTTTCCCTGATGATGTGTAAAAAATTCCTGGTCTAAAAAAATCATTACTCTGCCAAAAATAGGGGGGCCTACGCCCCCCCCCCTGGATCCGGCCCTGTTTAGTTTCCAATGTGTACACATCTTGATACTATATGATGTCTGATTGTAATTTAGGGCTTTTGAGTGATGACTTCAATTCCATATACATTTCAGTTTTGGTTTGTTAGTAGTTGGATTTCTTTAAAGATATATAATTTCTTATCAAATAAATGAAGAAAGCTTTGCATTGTCCCTTTTCATATATTTTATATTGAGTTATTTCAGTTTTATT